GTGCCTATCTTGATACCTATTTACTTGAAATCTCACATATAAGTCTTTTTGTTGCTACGTGATAGAGTTTAAGAGTTTAAGAGTATGTTCCCATAAATAATCTTAATACCACAAAAAATAGTTTAATATATAACAGTTTTCTAGGATTTTTCCTCTTGTCAAGTTATTAAACATATATTAAGTATGCCTTTTTCTTAATTCATCAATCTTAGATCACTGGAGTTGCAGAGATTAAAGAAATCTTAGGAATCCTCTATTCAAGTGCATTCTCTTTATAGTCATTTAAACTGACTGAAAGTGTAGAATCCAAGAAGAGTGACTCTCAGCCCATATACATTTTTAAATTTTTATTATTGTTTTTAAACAGCAAGGTACAGTAATTTGGGACTTAAATATTGATATTTCTTTATGCATCTCTTTTTTCAAGGGGGTAAGAATTTCCATGAGGATACCAGTCCATAAAATATTTACTTGCATCCAAGGGCTGCATTATCCATCCATAGAGGTTATCCTAGACGACCAATTGTTGTCAGTCCAGTACACTCATTAGTACACAGACAGCATTACAGTGAGGCTGAGAAGTTTAATAATTTGGTCACTGGCAAATCTTGGTAATTTGCAGTATTTGGATGAGAACTACACTTCTCATACTGTAGTTAATCATCTTGCATTGCATGTTATCATAAAATATTCTCTTTGCTTTACCATAAACTATTCCAATAGTGTAAGAAGAATAATATACATTTATATAATTATATCTCCATCTCCATCTATATCTAGCTATTCAGTACCACTCACTGAACATTGAGACAAAGTAAAGACATGAGAGAGGCACACCCAGTACCAAGTGTATATGCCTCTCTTGGAGTCAAATATCCTTGCACTTTATAGGTAAGACCATGGCCAACAGAAATGGTATAGAAAACTCTCCTCCCCCTCCAAAAAAGGCAAACGTAATTCTAACATGAGAAGATTGAGAAACAGATCATTTAAATGAGTAATTAAAACATTTTGTTATGTATGTGTTTAGCATATTCTATATGTTCATATATTTCACAATAAATAAGATAGAAACACAGACATTACATCTAAAAATGCAATGCAATGAAAATATTTTTATTTTAGTTTTCATTTAAAGCTGAGAAAAATGTTGACATTTAAAATGTTTGTTATTAAGAAGCTTCTGCTGACTGTAGGGGATTATCTTAGTTTCCCAAGCTTGAATCAGAGTTCATGGTCTGGCATTTATCTAAATCATCCTAGTCATTCTGGTTTATTTTTATTATGCATTGTTATGATTTTTCTCTGTGATGACAGAGGCGATTCTAAATCAAAAGAAATCTACCGCAGCACTCTCTTCCCCTGACACAGCCAAAGGCTTTTTTTGAGGGGTTTGGATGGTTCTGTGTGTCTTGCTAAATTAACATTTTCATGGTGGCAAAGCCCTTTTGAATCAGATAGTATCTAGAATGTAGGAACTAGAAAATATATCATTCAAAACAGCCAAATTCAGTACTTCTTTGTTCTACGATCATTTTTCCCGAAGGAAATATCAAGTAATCATGATTGTCAAATATAGTATGTCTGTTATGTTTCCGGGATACAAATCTGGTAAAACATCTAAAAACTAAATGCAGCTAATGACCATGAACTTACTGAGGAAATGCAAAGCATGCACTGGACAAACTATTAAAGGCAGACATTATGCAAAGATCTGTAACTATATAATTGTTTTCTGTAAACCTCATTTAGATTCTCAGAGATCCCAGACAAAGCTAAAATATTAGTTTTTATTTTATAACTTCCTGAAAATATTACATCGGCATTTTTAAAATAATTTGAAATACAGTTATCTGCAAAAGTATCAAGACTCACACACAGCTGAAATCAGGAAAAAAAAAACATTTACCAAATCCTTCACACCTCCATTTTTTATGTCTTTCTGCAGGTAACTTTCTATTGTTTACTCATGGTGAGCAGTGTAATGGACCAATACCCTCATTATGGGATTGGCCAGTGGGGTTTTAGCAGATATGTTCCAGGCTGAGAAGCAACTGGGCTCACTCTTGCCGTTCAGTTACTTGGCAACTGGGTTCACATGTAGTCTTCCCTGCTGGTCTCCAGAGAAGACGAAGGACTTGTGGTGTGCAAGTATAGACCAGCCAACCCCAAGGAACAGGAGCAAGCCCAGTCAAGATTAGCAGAAATACTTAGGGACATTCATTCACCTAGTGTCATATTCTGCTTTGTTTTATAACTTTATTTGTGATAAATACAACTATGTCAGGTATAGCTGGCAATAATGTAGATGACAATGCTGCATATATTATATACACGGTAGGGAAGTGCAAATAACCCTTAGTGACAGAATCAGAGTTCAAAATATCTCAATTATGAGAAGTTAACTAAGGGACAAATGTTTTTCTTAGGTGAAGGGACCAGGTTTGCTGGCAAGACAGAAGAAAATAGTCTCACAAAATGTAAACAAAAGAATGGCATTGAAATGAAACTTGGAAGAACACAGAAGCCGAACCATGAAGTGCTCTGTACCTCAGGTTAGCATTTAACATGTATCTGGGGAACAGAAAGTAGCAAATAGCTTTAACCTTTGTCTAGACTAGATTAACCCAGAGTAATTATTACACGTTAAATTGAATACCTTATTTCCACTCAAAAGAGTGATCTAGGATCACTGGTTTGAAATGAGAGGGAGAAAGTAGACATTGATTTAACTGGAGACAAGGTGGTGGTTAGGTACAAAAAAAATTGTACAACCAGATGGAAATTTCTAGCATAACTTTTACTTGTGTGGCCTTAAGAAAATCATTTAATCTCTCTGTTTTAGTTTCTTGACTACAAAACAGGAATAATAATGTCTCTATGATGGTTTGTGACATATATACCAAGAATTTAATGATGCTTTTATCATTGCCCTGCCCCTAAAATCATAAAGTTGAGAACAATAGATACTATGTTCTTCCACATTTAGAGAAATGTAAGTCAGCACCCTCTGTTTAAATCAAGTGAGTGCAGCACAAAGAAAACCAATGGCAGCAATGTTTAGGTGTTTTGCTGTGCATTCTATCGCCCTGTTTACCACTGCTATCAGAGAAGAATGCTACAAAATACAGTTGACCCTTGAACATGGGTTTGAATTGCATGAGTTCACTTGCATGCAAATCTTCTTCCATACTTTCTGCAAATATATACTCTCTTTCTTACAATTTTAACAGTTTCATTTTTTGTAGCTTACTTTAAGACTATAGTATATAATACATATACCATACAAAATATGTGTTAATTGTTTATGCTATTTGTAAGGCTTCCAGTCAACACTAGACTATGTGTATTTAAGTTTTGGGGGGTCAAAAGTTCTATGCAGATTTTTTACTGTGTGGGGTTTGGCCTCCTTGAGCCTGCAGTGTTTAAATGTTAACTGCAATCTTTGGGAAAGCTGAAATGTGACCCTAGCTTCCTACCTGGGGAGATTTGAAGAAGGCAGGTTGGCTGAGACAGCCTGAAGTAGTATCCCAAACAGGGAACACTGGTAGAGCCTCCAACAGTAATGTGTTTCCATCAGGTTTAGTAGAGATGCAGACAGTGCATTGAAAGACTGTGGAGTGGGCATGCAAGTGAGAGGAACTGGGATAAGTCAGGTAGAGTACATCCTTCTTTCTAATGACCTTGAAGAGAGGAGGACCTCATCAAGTGCCTTTGAAAGAGCTCAGACATGAATCTCACTAGAGAACAATCTTTGGATTACTGTCCAACAGGAGGCATCAACAGCCCAACATTACAAAAACATTCTTGCTTCCTCCTTCCTATCTCTCCATCCAGGAAGAGCCTGAAAAATCCAGGCACAGACTTTGGCAGAAAAGGAGGAAGAACAAACATTGATCATTGTTCCTTTACAACCTCAGTACCATGGGTTAGGCTAGCCCTGTGGTTGTGGAAAACACTTTGAAATAGATATGGTATTGACTTTCATTAAACTAGACTTGAATTTTTATATCTGAAATGAATCATAATTACTGGCATGGGACTGTTGCTTTAATAATATGAGGGTACAAAAATATAGTAGCTGTTTAAGAACACCAGAATACATCAGAGAGGGTGATTTTACAGTGTATGGATGGAAGAATTAATTAGAGAAAAATATATTTTAAAGCATGCTATTGAGGTGAGACTTCAATATACTGGTTTGATAAAGGAGTAATAAGATATTAGTTGATAAAGCATGTAAGGTAGTGTATGGCACATAGTAAGGGATCAATAAATGTTATCTGCTTTTATAATTGTTGTTATTTGACAGGAAATATATCAAATTTGAATGTGATCCAAGATGGAAAATGCTATATAAAAATTACAAAAGCAAAAACCAAAAAGGTCATATGTTAGATGTTACATAATAAACATTCTGAACTTGAAGATTCTTTCATAATTCCTTGAATTCTAGGATTCTGTTTTTCTACATATGAATTATTTTTTCTATGTGGGGAAAATAATCAGTTTTCTTCCACATTAAATAGACAATATAACTCTTCATACATTTTTTAATTTAAAAAACATAGACTGTCCCTTTATATACTCTAAGAGCATCCACTATTAAGTCAGTATCATTCATTCTTTAGGACTGGAGTATTAATTCTCTCTATCATAGGTAAATTAAAAAAAACTTGCCTGTCACTACTTGTTCTTTGACGGTTCTTTAGCTTCAAAAATGACATTGACAAAAGATTAGTGCAGTATCACTACAATACAGCTAGAACTGCCTAGCTGGGGACTGAGTTTTTATACAACAGTAACTTACTTTCCTTTGCACTAACTCATGAGCTTCTGCATACAGGCTACTTTAACAACAAAACATGCCAACATGTAAACAAAGTATTTCATTTTTTAAAGCAACTGTCATGTTGAGAAATCGAAGTTATTATAAGTCTCCTGACACAGAGAGCAAAGCATTTCATTTCAAACTGAAAGAGTGAAAGTGCCATACTTACATCCTGGTTGGTCATCTCCCAGTAGGGTCTCTCCCCGTAAGACACGACCTCCCACATTACGATCCCATAGCTCCAGACATCACTAGCAGAGGTAAACTTTCGGAAAGCTATAGCTTCTGGGGCAGTCCATCTGATAGGAATTTTGCCTCCCTGAAATTTAAAAAGGATAACAAATTTCACACACTTCAAATGTATCTAGGGATATTGATGTCTCACTGAAGAGATCTGGAAAGAGATGTAACATTTTTAAGTGGATCTATTTACCATCAGGCAGTCTCTTTTCACACACCAGTCCATAAGCACTGGTAGGCTGACTACTAATTGGCTGTCTGGAAGGATTCTGGTTTAAATTCTGTTTGACCACTGGAGCACATACAGGGTCCACATCTCAATTACACCATCAGGAGGGCAGCTCTTAGTAGGGAAAGTGAGCAGTCAAGCAAATCAATAAGGCAACTTTCAAAACTTGCAACCAGAGAGTCAAGGACTCAAATTCTGGGGGTGTTTTTTTTCCTTTAATATAAGAATTTTAAGTGGAATGTCTCAGTTGCTGTATGCAACCCTAAGAAGTTTAGCAGTTAATAAGCATGAAAATCAGATATATTACACAATTTGGTTACATTTTTCCTTGATATCAGGTAATTTTTTTTAAACTTGATTTCTCTTATTTTCTGAAGACATGTTTTTTGTGTTTGTTTGGAAGGGCTTTTTTTTAACCTAAGAAATAGGTTTCTCATTTAATGCAACCATTTTAAAAATCATTGCAATTAGATTATGGGGAAGAACATTATCAAATTTAGGATTTTTTTATGTGACAAAAAAATGGTTTGCTAGGTTTCTTCTTAGTTTACAGAATTAACATATATTCTGTCCCTTTCATAGAAGATTTTTTTGTCTTAATTTTTAAAAGCAGGTAATCCCAAGCAACCAAACATTTCATTAATAAGAAAAAAAGGAAGAATGTGAGAGAGGTGTAGGTTTTGAGTATTTTTCTTGTGAAAAGTCTAACATATGCCTTCTTATTTTGCTGGAAGGGAATAATTTATTTCATTTACCAGAAAAAAAAATGGGACCTAAATTGCTTTATTTGAACCAAAGTTTCAAGATATATAAGAAAATAATGATGTTGAGATGGCTCTCTGAGTTGAAATTAATTGAAATATTCAAACTAAGTTTAAATTATTTGCTCTGTAGAAATATGATAATACCCTTTAGGAGGACTTTTCCGAAACATGCTTCTGTTAATTAAGTATTCAAAGGTAAGATCACAAATAGGTCCAAGTATTTGTTTTGTGGTATTGTCTAATATATTATTACTATACTTCTTAAAATTATAGTTTGTTAATTACTTTAAACTTCATCCTAGAATTTTTCTCTTGAACCTCTGACAATCATATTTGGCATCAGTATTATGCAAAGTTCCCTTATCTTCTTAACTATCAGTATATGCATCTTCCATGAACTGTCACCATAACCCATTTCACAGGAATAATTCTTGATGGCCTTAGGGCCTCTGCTTTCCCTTGTCCTCCAGCATGACACATTGGCACAGATGTTGAGAATCTACCTTATGCATTTAACTAAGACATTAAGTAATCATGCTGGGAATGGATTTTTCTGAAATCACAGTCTTATTTAGGCCATGTTTATTAAATGTAACACTAATTCTAGGAGAATTCTTAAATGAGGTTTTATTTAATGCAAATAATGACAAAGATAATTAAGTCTGGAAGAGGACTTGATATCCCCTCAATTAATTTATTGATTTAATAAGCTGGCCATTAAAAGATTTTTTTGCTTAGATAACTTGCTTTTGACCTTTGGCATAGTGCAGTCCCTAAGAATCTGAGTCATAAAGCAGCAGTGAAAAAGAAAGGCTTATGTTCTATCAACATACTTATTTCTAGACTATGAGTAGAAGTAATTTTTAAAAAGCTGAATTAAATTTAAAACTGTGTAACACATCTGTCATAAATATAATACATAACAAAGTGTTCTTTTTCATAGAAACCAAGGTTAACAAAATTGTATAATGAAAAAGATACAATGAAAAATTCCTGTCTTCCCAAGGAGTTTAAACCTTGAACTTGATCATATCGTAAAGATTTAGAATTAAACAAATGTAGTTTATCATAAGGGATTCAAACCAAAGAAGTTCAATGTATAGATTGTCCAAAAAATTCCATCATATCAATACTCACAATTTTCCACAGAAAGAATTATCAATTCAGTAACCAACTACATTGCTGGAAACAGGTGATGATTTATCCTAATTACAATATTAGTTAGTGACTAATTTTCCAAAGATATGGGGTTAACAATTTTTAAGCATGTAAGAAAAGAAATTAGGTATACCTTCAGTAAGTATAAAGTTTTTTAAAGAATAGCTCTTTTATACTATACCACATGAATCCTTAAAAGGTAAGTTTAAATATTGCTATATTTGGTTTACAAGATATTATAGTTCAGAGAGTTTAAGCTAACCAATAATGCTATACCCGTATATATTCATATACATTGTATATATGTTTTCTGCTTTTAATATGAGATTCTCTCACTTTATTTTACATTTAAAACTTTATATAACTTTTATATTGTGTATCCACTCTAAATTCAAACTTTTTTATTTTCAGTATGTTTAGGAGAATTTTTTTTTGTTGCTACTATCTTATTTTATTTATTTTATTTTATATTTTATATTTTATTTTATTATTTTATTAATTGCTGTTCAAGTATAGTTTTCTGTCTTTTACTCCCATTCCAGCCCACCCCCCCAACCCTCCCCACCTCCATCCCATTTCCAACTCCCTCATAGTTTTTATCCATGTGTCCTTTATACTTGTTCCTGTAAACTCCTCCTCTTTTCCCCTGAAATTCCCTCCCCTCTCCCCTCTGGTCAATGTCAGCCTGTTCTCTATTTCAGTGTCTTCGGTTATATTTTGCTTGCTTGTTTGTTTGTTTTGTTGTTTAGGGGAAAATATTTGACACTCATAAGGTAAATGCTTTGCTATCTCTGTTTAATATATGATTTTTTTTTTGATATCTAACAAGGATCATCATCTGGATTTTTTAATCCCAAATTCCCTCTATTTCTTTCTTTTTTCCCCCTATGTTGAAAACATCACCCTTTTTGCTAATTCCTTTGAAATCTTTAGAAATTAAATACCTCTAGTCTAGTGTTTTAGAGATGCATTCTGTTAGTTCTTACCCTTGTGGTATAGGCTGCTTCAGGATCGTCCTCCAGTACCCTGGAAAGTCCAAAGTCAGACACTTTGCACACAAGGTTACTGTTGATTAAGATGTTCCTAGCAGCGAGGTCTCTGTGCACATAGCCCATGTCGGACAGGTGCTTCATTCCCGCGGCGATGCCCCTCAGCATGCCCACAATCTGAATCACAGTGAACTGCCCATCGTTCTTCTATAAAGATGATGTGGAAATGTTAGTCCAGCAAACACAAATCACTGGGAGGAAATATGAAAGGATCTTCCTTCAATCCCAAATTAATACTATCACCAAATTCATGCACAAATTCTATTTGAGGGAGAACAGAAAAAGATGGGAAATATATAACTAACTTGATAATATGTATCAGTTCTTTGCTCCATGAAAGCAGATAAAAGCTTTGAAAGCCTTTGTCAAAAATCTCATTTAATTGTAACTCCTTTTCCTCACTCATCACAGGAGTGTACTCATCAATGCAACCTGGTGTTTGTCTAGGGTTAAACATACTGTATATTTTCGAGGTGCTTTAAAAGAAGCTTGCTGGATAGGCACATTGTCGTAAAGAAGAAATGGTCAGAGGGGGTAAAGGGAGATTCTTCAGCAGCAGATGGGCGAGGAATTAGTGCACAGTGACCAGGACAATGTTTGCATTTCTCGGAAGCTTGCTGTATTTCTCAAGGGCACTGAACTTACTGCAGACATACAGGATAAGGCTCACGTGATGATTATTTTGAAAAGAAAAAGGAAGATATAACTTAAGACACTAGAGAACTGAAAGATATGTATAAGAAATCTGGCAACAGAAACTTGGGGATCACTGCCATATTCAATGCACAGGACCTTCTTATGACCGGCATTAATGCCATTTCCCATCACCTTTCTCAATCAATAGCAATAATTGTTACTGAAGATAAAAAACTTCCAGCTTACAGGATGAATTAGGCCTGCAAATATGTTATATTGTCTAGCACAAACTCCCTGACTATATAATAAAATGAGTGGCCATCATTTCAAATTTGGAGACTTACACAGTTAAAAAAATACCTTTCTCTGAGACCCACAGACCAGACAGTATAGGATTAGTATTGTCTGTACCACAGGATGACTGCACTGGCTCAAGCAGAGGATGACCTCAGATGGGTTCCAAGTCCTTTGAACCCCTTAATGCAGATAATTAATGCAGAACTTTCAGACACACTTTTTTCTTGCTCTGCCTGATTATGTGTATTTCTTGAAAAAGTTAAGCATTTGTAGAAGATTCTTTTTTAAAATTGTTGATACTATTACAGATAAACTATTTTCTTCTCTTTTTTCCTTTTCTCCCTCTCTTCCTTCCTCCCTCTCCCCATTCCTTCCTTCCTTCCTTCCTTCCTTCCTTCCTTCCTTCCTTCCTTCCTTCCTTCCTTCCTTCCTTCTTTTCCTTCCTTCCTTCTTTTTTCTTTCTTTCCTTCTTCTTATTTCGCTTCTTCTTTCATTCCTTCCTTTTCTTTATATTTTCAGGAAAATTAACATATAGTTAAATAAAACTGAAGATGCATATAATTTGAATTTGTATAAGTTTTCTCAAAAGAAAAATTTTCAAGCCAAAGTTAATAATTTTGGAGTATAATGATTTTGACTCCAGATAGTTCTATCTATTTTAAAATTTAGCTTTAAAGTGGCTCAATTTCAACTTCAATGTCATGATCAATATATAAATAGCATCTTGAGTAATTAAATTTGTTTCAAATCTTACCTTTAAAAATGTATCTAAAGAGCCATTTTCCATATACTCTGTCACTATCATCACTGGTTTACCTGAAAAGAAAACAATGGATAAGTTGCTGCTTTTGGGCTTAATATTTTTATGCAGGGAAAGTTTACCTGGATGTTTTTATTAGTGTCCAAATACATTTCTTTATTTTTTTAAAGTTATCTTTGAGCAGCAACTAAATCCCTGATGCTATGATACCTTAGTCAAACGGTAGGTTCAGTGAGGTAAAAGTACCACAAGGATAATAACATTGATATAGTCAATTGGCAATATCAAAATCAATTTATGTAGAAAATGACCTGAAGAACAAATACTATTTTAATAGAAGCAATGGCATACTGTACCAAATAGTAATATCTGGCAAAGCACTGTAAACATATTAATCTTTTTCACAACTCTCAATAAAACCCTGATCCTGTCTGTCTTCTTTATGACCCCTTGAATATGTGTCATATTTTTCTAACTTTATTTCTATGTTCTTGTAACTCCTTACCTTATGGCTGCCTCCCAGTTTCCTCTCTGCCACACAAGTTATAATCTCTATCAATCCAAAGTGTTTTGTTTTTAAAAACACTGGTTTAATTCCTCTTGCTATCTGATAGCTTTTTCTGCAATCATCTCTGATGGAAGGGGTCCTGCTTTTGTGTCTGATATAGAAGTATAGCCTAGAGATTAGCAGAACAGACTCTGGAGCCACACCGCTCAGCTCTGAACCCTGTATCAATCACTATTATGTGATCTTAGACAAATAAATTATGATCTTTGTGTCTCAATTTTCTCATCAGTAAAATTAGGTTATAAATGATACCTGACTCATAAAGTTATTGTGAGTACCCAAGGAAAATGGTTATCCCAAGACTTATAATAGTGCCTACTACTAGAATTTGATGTGTATTCTTGTTTTATAATCTTAATCAACTTTGCTTCTATGGGTTAACCTCCTTGCTACATGTAAGTTGGCTAAAAGAATAAATACTATTTTATCTCCAATAAATTTGTGGTACTTTGTATGTAACATGTCTGTTATACAGGATGAAAAACAAGATAAAAATCTTTGTTAAATAAGAAAAAAATTAAAACACAGTTGTTTTATCACTCCGTATTAACCTCACTATATTTTAAAACATACCTTTTTACTCTTTAATAAAAGTATACTACATAAATTTTAAGTGTCATTTTAATCTGTTTTGAGATTAGTAAAAGGAGAACTTATGACAGAGAAATTATTATCTTATCATCTATTAATTATGTTTTTTATATGAAAAGCAAACAAGGCCTATGCAACTGAGAAATGCATTGTAATTAACCTAATGGCATTTTTAAGAAGAGCATCTGTATTGTTCTTGAGAGATGATTAATTCAAGTCATAATATTAGAACTTGTACATTTATTCATTCACCTTCATCCTAAAGTATAAATACAGATATGAAGTAAGACAATTACATATAAATAAGAAATAACTAGGGAAAATGATTTTTTCATTCCAAAATCATTTAAAACTCACCATTTAAAATAAGAAGGTAAATTAGTCTTACTCTTCCCTCAGATAATTATCTCCTTTTAAAATATTTTAGGAGCACTATTCCTTACGAAGTTGTGGCAAGTTACAACAAAGGTAGACACATTTCTCTCCTCCTTTTTAAAGTTCATAAAAGTTGTAAAGAAATTCATCTAAAATCATTCATTTGGCATATGGTTCTAGATGCCTACATTAGGTGAAATAACACATATGCAGAGAATATGCATTGGAGAAGTCATTTGACATGCACTTTGAAGGCTGAAAGTGTCACTGGTGTAATAAAAGGTGATGGGTATTCCAGGAAGAAGAGGCAATATGTACTGAGGGATCTTGTCACGAGAGAGCCTGTCAAGTTCAAATACAGCCATATACTTGATTTTTTTGAAGAGCTCTGGATTTTTCTTTGTAAATCAGAAAGTGACAGGAGATGAGTTGGGGAATACTGATTTAAAAGTGACTAGAAATACTTTTTTTCTTTTGAGAAAAAGAGAAAAGATTCATATTGTATGTGTAAATGGCTCTGACAGCACAGGAGTATAAAAGATTATAAATGTTATTTTCTCCATAGTACAACTTCATTCTAAGTTCAGGAACAGAGAAATTATTTCAACTTAACTTTATTTTGCCACACCCATTTTAATGGACTTCACATAAACTGTAAAATAGATAAAATTCTGCTTTGGATCCCTTTAGTCACATTCTTACATTTCAGATCCTATTTCAGCTTTTTATTAATGTGGAGGCCCCTTTTCTTTTGAAGTCCTGAAATAATATATATCCCCTGAAGATAATAGCCAAAATAGCCAAATGCTTTGGCACAGGTGCCTAATGGGACAGAAGAACTGTACCAGCCGTCGCCCATGCATTTGCCTCATCAGAGGAATTCAGAACTACCCAGGGATGAAACTGAGTAGGCAGAGAGTAGGGGCACATGGGTATCCCTGGAACTGGCTTTTAAGTAAGCACTATGGAAATATTTCAGTAAATTTACAGCTAACAAAGTCAAAAGGATATTGTACTTGCTGAAAACATCAGCCCTGGTCAAACTAGAAGGAGGCCCACATTTTCTGGCACTAGCCTGTGATTCCAGGAATCCCTCTTTGAATCTGCCTGATTTCTTCTCTCACTTAGAGAAATTCATTGAGAGAGTTGTCATAATGTAAGAATGGGAAGAACTGAACTCCAGAAACTACTGGGGATGAGCTTTCCTTCATTGTCATCTCAGCTCAGACCTTGTGAGCAGATGCCTCAGCCATCAAAGGGAAACCCTAATCTATGTCTATTACTGTCTACGCTGCCCCAAGTCCTTTATGTCTGTGGCACTTTCCCTATAACTCTACTTAACAAAATTTTGTTCCTTCTCTCTTTTTCTACAATTTTTTTCTGCCTACCCTCTAATTTTTTACACTCTCTTCTTATTTGTATGGGTCAGTGGTAAATGTTTACTACTGCTCACTCATGGTCTACCAAGCAAAAATTAGAATTCCCATGTTAAAATATCTCTTTTTGAGTATATTTGTTCTTTAAATTCAACCCAAATTTACTGAGCTTAGAAGAAAGAATTTATACTCTGAAGAGAATAGACTGATTAGAAAACTTATTGACATTTAATAATGTATAGTTGGGAAAAAGCATTCGTTTTTAGAGGTATTGGCACCTGGTATTCATCCTGTAAGATTTTATAGCTAGCATCACCTAGCTTTAAAAATTGGATTAATTATTTATGACAGTGTAGGGTGTAATGTCAATAACAAAAATGTTATTTGAGAAATATGATAGGGACTTAGAATACTTCTCATACTTCAGAAAATGGGGGGAACAATAAAAATGAATCCTTGAAAACAAGCACAATATTTTTTTGTTGACAAGAATAAGACACTTCAGGATCTATTTGATTATGTTTCGTGCTTGAGTCATTTTAATGCTAATTATATTTAGTTTGGCTTATGTTTCATCTCAGTTTCTGCTAGCCTGCAAGAATGACATGGCAATAATTAACGTGGCTTACTCTAGCCCTTGTAAATTCAATAAAACTGTACAAATCATTTTCCATTATCCAGCCTGAAGTACAGACAAAGGGTAGATCTGCCAATAATTCTGAAAGCATATTATCAAAAATCCATATAAAGAGAGCTCATAAAGCATGTCAAAACATGATTTTAATCATGGACTAGAGCTTTTATATTACTGTATATTATTTACTGAAAACCCAGCTCAGGCAGAGTCTAAGTAGTAATAGAAACACATTATTTGTGCAACTCACATTCATTATTGACAATCATAAAGAGCTACAATTTATTGATTTATTGTCTCTTCTTTATAAAGCATGATGTTACTTTTTAAAATATTTTATTTATTATCTTTAGAGATAGGGGAAAGGAGGGAGAATGAGAGGGAGAGAAACATCTATGAGTGGTTACCTCTCACATGGCCCCTACTGGGGACCTGGCCTGCAACCCAGGCATGTGCCTGACTGGGAAATGAACCAGCAACCTTTGGTTCACAGGTCCACACTCAATCCACTGAGACACACCATCCAGGGTCCATGATGTTATTTTTAATTGTTATTAAACCTCTATAAAGATGACATAACAAAAGATTTTTTTTCAGAGAAAGAAGAGTGAAATTTACAAAGATTTAATATATTACTTTAGCTGATCAGAGCAACTTGTACAAGAAGCAAAATTGTGAATCAAGTTTATATCCATCTGACTCTAAAAGCTTTTTTTATTTCCTCCATATTATGATGTCTATAATTTCAAAATATTTTAATTAAAAGTATATTTTTAAATCTTACAACTATTTATTATTTCATATTAACACAAGCCTGGCAACCATAATAATGGCATGCCAAACTATTCAATGACTGATAGCAGAACTGGTTGAAATTCAGCTTCTTTCAATAAATAATATATTCTTATGTTTGATCATTACCTATTTCTGCTCTGAGTGTTCTGGTGTGTTCTACAGTGAATGGCCCTGGAGTCTACTTATACAAGGTATTTATAGTAGTCAAAGCCATAGAAGCAGAAAGTAAAAATGTGGTTGCAAGAGACTGGGCTGAAGAAGGAAGGAAGACTTGCTTCTCAATGATTATAGAGTTTCAGTTATGCATATGAAAAAAGTTCTAGGGATTATCACACAACATTGTACTTATAAGTAATACTGTAGTGAGCACTTAAAAATTTAAGAGGTAGATTTCATATTTGATTTTATTTTCTATCTCATTAAAAAACAACCAGTTTGTTTTGCTACTACATGATTTTTGGTGCCAATGTTTATCACAAATCCAACACAGGTGACAGAAAGCCACTTTTGGAAATTTAATACTTTTCCATAAGATCTCAGAGTTAGGAGAAACCAGCTTCCGGGAATGTTCATCTAGCTCTATCTTCAGAGTGTGTCCCTGACAAGTAGCATAGATATCATCTGGGAACTTGTTAGAGATGCCAGAGTTCAGTGCCTGATCCGATCTATTGAAACAGGTTCTGAATTTTAGAAATATCCTAAGAGGCACATTAAATT